GGAAGGAGTGAGCCTTGGCCACGGGAGAGCCACACCTCCTCCCTAGTACCTGGCTGTGTTCCTGGATTTGGAGCTGGATTCGAAGGTTTGGGAGCTTCTGGCTCAGTGAGAGCAGGCCTGTTGAAAACCTCCTGTACCTGTTATCTCTGTGGCCACCACAGTGCTTAGGGACCAACCCATGACAACAACTAGTGGTGTGGGGGAGGGGGGGCACTGCTACAAGCATAATGGGACCCGGGGTGGCAAGCTCAAGCTGAGAGTCATGCGTGGTCCTGTCATTGTTCCCCTCTGGGCGCTAGTGAGACACATCTTACCTGTCCATTTTAGACCTCTTGTTTCTTCATTCACTCCTCCACCTCCCTGCATTGTCATGCTGCACGCTGGCCGTCTGTGCCCCGAGCCACGCAGCCTCTGTGCACGCACCCAGGTGGTGTTTCCTATGCCAGCTGTGAGCAAGATCCAGTCCGGCCCTCAAGGACCCTCTGATCTGGTGGAGGCAGACCGGAAGTAGACAGCTCAGCAGGCAAGGGAGTGCCGTGAGAGCAAGGTCCAGAAAGAACAGAGGAGGAAAAACCCAGAGGGTGACATGCCAGAGAGGAGCAGGGGCCAACGCAGTGGGCAGTTGGAGAGGTTGGAAAAGTGTCTTGCAGAGGGGAGAACACTGGCTGAGGGAGAAAGCGTGGGAAGAGGGGACAGACCTGGCACAGGCCAGGCTAAGGGCACCAAGGTCAGAAGAGCCTGGCCTGGCGGAGAAACAGGCCCAGTCCATAGGCAGAGGAGGATCCTCACACAAGGAGGGACACACTGTGACCTACCTGTGCAAGGCCTTGGTAGTGACACTGTCCAGTGGTCCTTGTAAAGACCACTCTTGTTGCTTGGTGGAGAATGGATTGAAAAGGAAAGAATTGAAGTGGGGACCCGTGACAAGGCTGTTGCACTGTCCCTATGAAAAACGGTGAGATAGGTGTGGTGGGGTGGGGGCAGTGGGAATGCAGAGAGAGATAGGTTTGCAGATGGGACCCAGGGACTCAGCGATGGTTAGCTGGGGGAGATATGGCAGACCCCACACACAGTGCACACCGCTCTTACTGTACACACAGCTCAAGCAAGCGTGTTTGGGTGGTTTCCAAGTCCATGGCCAAGAGCAAGCCACAAACTGAGTGGAAAAGGAAGGCAAGCCTTAGCTAGGCTGTGGTTAGCAGCTATGTTTTTGCTGAGAAGGGGTGAGGAAGGTGCTGTGTGATTAGTGCGGGTGCAAGTTGGGACCACACAGGGTAGCCCACGTGGCCATGAGTCTTTTTGGCCTCAGACAGCCACATTGAAGTGTCCCCAGGAGCCCTGCACAGGACCCAGACACTGATACTCAGAAGCCCCTGGGGCAGCCAGCCCATGAGGACAGGGCAGGGCCTGGTCTCACTTCGTGCTCCGACCCTTGACACACGCTCCGTGTCAGCGCATCTGCTGACTACATTGCACAGGTGTTGAACTCCCCAGCAGGCGAGGCGCTCCCGCACCCCGTTCCACGCTCCTCCCAGCTGTGCTTCCTTTTCTCAGAGGAGCAAACAGGTTTGGAGGTGCAGAGCTGCGTCACCCAGCCACCGTGTAGGAGGCAGGGAGCTCTCCAAGCGCCAGGCCTCCGAAGACCACGCTGCACCTGCTCCCGGTCACACTGTCCTTAGGCGGTAGGGTGCCGGCATGCACCGGGCAGAGGGCTTCCTCTAGCCCAGTGGCCGCAGAACCCATGATGCTGCTATTCCTATTTTTGTAAATGTAGACCAGAGCTCAGAGAGGACCTGCCTTGCCGAGGTCGCATAGCTAGTCACTGAGGAGCTGGGGTCATGCAGTTACATATGTCACTTGCTGCTGCGCTCAAGGACTCGCTGTGGATAGGACTAGAGGATTTAGTAGTCCAGGGACCCTACTGCTCTGCAGTCACTCGTCTCTCATGCGTTCTCTGGTCAGTGCCAGGCATCATGATTGGGAAGGTATCAGTCTTGCAGGATGTCTCTGGCCCGGTCCTGAGGGGTTGAGGTGGTGGTCTGGTGTCTTCCCACAGTTGTGGTCCATGTTACAAAAGGCCTGGGGGTTGGTCCCCCAGGGAGGTCTGTGTGGGTCTGGTTGAGCCTCAGTTTTCTCACCTGTGAGATGGGTGCAAAGGCACTCACTCTCCCTGCCTGTGGGGCTGAGGCAGGAGGTCCAGAGACAAAGCTGGGGAAGAACCTGCAAAGCCCCAGGTCCCCTGAGTGGCAGCCAGCACTCTGCCCCATCCTGCATAGACTTGGGCCCTGACTCTAAGGTCCCCACCCAGGTGACACCCTGGCAGGGAGAAAGCATCCCCAGCCCCAGAAATGGTCGTGTGGTTGCAGTTCAAGAGCCAGCCGGGTGGAGCAGATGTGACAAGGAGCAGAGAACCATCCACAGCTGGAGGAGGAGGATGGGCAGGCCTTCCTCCTGTCTGATAATGCACGTTCCAGTGTTGATGGATGTGCAGGGTGCTAACAGAGCGAGAAGCTGGACATCAGTGGCATGGGCCTCTCTATCAGTCTGTCTTTGTAGCTGCTGCTGCCCCACACACTACGCTGTGGCTATTTCCAAGAACTGCACATCAGAGGAGGACCTGCTATGTGCCAGGACTGCTCCCCTGCAGGACACAAGAGTCCAACTGGATTTCATCTCTAGGCAGCCCCCTTCTCCCAAGACGTGTCACCTGCCTGAGGGGCCTGGCAGGTGCCAGTGGTTGTGGAGTTCCTCAGCGGGCCTCCTCGGGGTCTTGTGGTCCTGCAGGCCTTGGTCCCCCGGCTGGACCACCGGCTTCACGGGGCCTTGGGCCTCGGTTTCCTGCTGACTCTTGCTCAAGCAAGTGGAATCATCACAGGCTTTGTGGAGCACAGTGAGGAATTCAGCCAGGGAAATCAGGTCTGCCTGTGAATGGAGATTTACTGAGGGTTCCTTGCAGCCTTGGTTTTGTGCCCCCTCACCATATATTTTCTATGCTTTTAGTTCCCTTCTATGATTTGAAAATAGTAAATGGAAATTGGAGAGGTAATACCTTTTCAATTCCTTGCTAATTTGAATAGTGTGATGGATTCATAGGCCGTCCCTGCTCTGTCATCCTGTATCCAGCGTTTCCGCACTGTATATACTACCCCCTTGTTAGTCACTTAGTTCTTTGTTGGGTGTTGGACCAGTTGTCACTATACTGCAGCCCTGTGTTCAGGTGATTCTTAACTATGTCCTCAGAGTGATGTTGGCAAAACAAGGTGAAGCTGTGAAAATGTGAAAGTACAGTAAGATATTTTGAGAGACCACATTCACATGATGTCCTGTTTCATTTTGTTCTTAGACTGCTGGGTGTTGAATCTGGGGCCTGCACACTGCACTATATCCCAACCTTGTTTCATTTTGGGTTGTTTTTGTTTTTGTTTTTTGAGTCAGGGTCTCCCTATGTTGCCCAGGATAGACTCAAACTTAGGATCTGCCTGCCTCAACCTCCCAGAGTGCTGGGACTGTAGTGGTACGCTGCTGTGCCTGTACTTCTGTTACAGGCACAGCAGTATATCTGCTGGTATATTGCTAGCATCGTTCTATATTGTTACTAGTTATTGCTGTTAAGTTTGTAACCATTTCTAAATTTATAAATTAAGCTTTATCCTAAGTATGTTTGTGTAGAAGGAAAGAGTGTATGTGGAGTGTGATACTGCAGCTGCAGTACGGGCATCCACTGGGGACCTTGGAACAAGTCTCCTGCAGCTTAGTGGGACCTGTGTGGTGTTAGTGCTTCGGGCTGCATGACACCACAGGTGCCTATCCCATGCCTTGTAGGCAGGTGTTCAGTACCTTCCGGCCCTGTCCAGCACATGCCAGGGTAGGTCATGACAACCAGAAATGTCTCCAGTATTGCTAAATATGCGCCCTAGGGAAGCACCATGGACCTTTAATTTTATCTATTTACCTTGTTTTTTGTTGTTGTTTTCATTTATTTTGTGAGATTGACCTTGAACTCACTGGGTAGCCGAGACTAGCCTCAAACTCACAGCAATCCTCCTGCCTCAGCCTCCCAACTGCTGAGATTACAGACAGGCACCACCATGCCTGCCCCTGAACCTTTGATTTAAGCCCTCCTTTTTGCCCATGTTGAGACTGACCCCATACCCATCCCCCCTCAGCAGAGCCAGTGCCAGGCAGACTTCCACTCCACCTCCCACCTCCCCTGACCCCACAGCTTTGATCAGTGCCCCACTTCCTTCTGTCCAGAGGGGCAGACAGTGGTAGTCACAGGGTTCTGAGGGCTCCCTGTTGCCCTCTGTAGAGTAAGGATGGTAACCCTCCACCTTGATCCCTTGGTGGACATAGGACAGGAGATAGTTGGTAGCTGTAGAACACTTAGCACTGTTGGGCACCCAGTGAGTGCCCTGCGGCTCTCACTCAATCCTGTCTGCTTCTGTAATGCTCAGCTGAGGCATGGCAGCAAAGGACAGGCTCAGGAGGAGGGAGGAGGTGACAAGTCCCTGTCCCAGTGAGGGGTGGGGAGCCTTGGAGCTGGGTACTACCCAGAGTTAAAGAAGGAAGGCTTTCTAAAATAAACTGGGAAAAGCTTTTCTGAAGCAAATCCCGCTTCATGGGATGGCATTAAGAATAGGACCAAACTGCTCCACAGGCCTGGGTTCCCATCTCTGTTGGGAGTCGTGCCCCCTCCAGGAGCCTGAGAGGAGAGACCCAGGATGGTTGTGGAGTGGGGTGTCGTGGTGGGCGGGAGCTTGCTCCTCCTGTTCCTGGCAGGTATGTTTGTTCCTCAGCAACTGTGACCTGGGGAGAGATCTGAGATGTGACCAGCTCACTCTGGGGCCACCAGCATGACCTGGCCTCCAGGTGTCCAGCAGATGCCTTCCTGCTCAGGCCTTGCAGGTGGTAGCCAGCGCTAATGGCACCCCCCCCACCCCCGGCAGTGTCGGGGACACAGGCTGCACTCCTGATGCCGTGTCATTGCTCTTCCTGTGCAGCTACAGCCTCCGCCTGGCATCCCGATGCCCTCCGCCATCCGCCCCGTACATCACCAGGCAGTGCAGGAAGGCCAAGGCCCCGGCTGCAGCCCCGTACCAGGGACCCTTCCTCAAGGAGTAGACACTGCGCCTGCTCCCTGACAGGTAGGAAGCAGGACATGACCACTGAAGTGGTCTTGGGACTGAGGGGACTGGGCAGGATCTGGGTGGGAGAGCAAGACGTGATGGGTGGGAGGAATGCTGGGCCTTGGCCAGACCCTTGCCCTCCCGTGGGCAGGCCCTTAATGGCCGACGGTGTTCAAACCTAGCTCTGCCACTCACCAGCTGGAGGAAGTCAAGCCACTCCTCTAATCTCTCTGAGCCTCAGTTTCTAAACTGTAAAATGGGGCTGCAATAGAGCTTACTTCATAGGATGACTGTGGCAACTGCCAGTGTCAGCTGACTGCAGAGCACTTAACCCAGTGCCTGGCGCAAGTCAGCACTAAAGAAGTACTAGCCTCACTGCTGCAGTGCTGCTGCTGCTGCTGATGTGGGGACGACAATGATGATGCTGCGGCGACGCCGACGACGATGGTGATGATAGAATACTAGTACTTATACCCAGTACTCAGTTGACACTTTCAGAAGCTTTAAGCCCAGAAAAAATGGTGGAGTGTCTATTCCTACAATATATTTCAAAGTAAAAATAATACTAATCCATTAAATTAAAAATTTAGATTTAGGGTGAGCTCAAATAGGCTCTTTCTAGGTTTCCTAATAGTACAAACCTGGAACAGGCTTTTCTTTCTGGGTGTCTGGGCTTTGCCGGTGCCCCATGCACACTCTGGGCACCCTGTTGGTGATCCCCTGGCAGAACTGCATTCATTGTGTCCCCGAGGTCCAGAGCACCCCAGGCACCAGAAGAGCTGGGGCGCAGTTACAGAGCCAGACCCAGACCCAGGGGCCACCCCGATGGGGCATGTGCTGCTGGCCACTCGCACTGGGAGATGCCTGCTTGACTCACAGGGCCAGGCCCGAGCCAGGTCGCTTGGCAGGAAACGTAGTGTTGTGCGAGGCACACGGGGTTGGGTTCTGAAGCTCTGGGGTCTTTCGTGTTGCAGAGGCCCTTCCTCCTGCCACTGCCTTCCTGTCACTTTCCTCCTTTCTCCCTCCTGTACGCAGTTTCTGGGCCTGCTGTTAATCCTTTGCAGGCTGGAGAGGGATGAAACTGCAGCCCTTTTCCACAGAAAGAGCCTGTGTGTAGCACCCAACAGGAGAGCTGACTCTGAACTTGACCCTGTGAAGCAGGGTGGAGTTGGACTGTAAATAATGGGAAAGTGGGAGGACTAGGAAAACTGGGCGAGCTGGCTCACATGGGGATGAACCCTCCCACCCACCTGCTGCACAGATGCAGGAGCGGGGGTCCAGGCATGCTCGGCTCAGTCGGAGGCCTCTGGAAAACGGGAGGCGGAGCCAGGATGAGCGCATCTCTTGTGATGGTGGCTGCTGCCTGAGCCCCTGAGCTGGTGACAAGGCTGCTGAAGGCTGCCACCCCAGCAGCACCCACACCCCCGAGGGAGCCAGGGACAACCCAGCTAGCCCTGGAACACAGGGCCGCTGCAGCCCCGGTGATGAGGAGGACACATGCATGGGCATCTGCCAGGCCGCGTCGGCTCTCTGGGGCCGGGCCGGCATCATCCCAGACACACACCGCCTGTTCCATATTTTCAAGCACATGCATCATCCCAGGCTAACTGTGCAAATGAACAGAGGCTGGATTTGGTCTGTGTGTGCAGCGCACAGCCTCTAATTTGCTCACCAACAGGGTTCCAAACACAACCGTTTAATTTCTAAATGGCGCCACTTGTGCCTTGAAATCTTAATTAACTTTTTCTATTTTTAAAACTTGTGCCTACACCAAGCCACCTAGGACGCCATACTTGACCTGTTTATTTTATTTCCCACTGTTTGTCCGAGTCTGCTCGGGCTGCTGTAATCGAATGCCACACACTGGGCGGCGGAAACAACAGACATCTATTTCCTGTCTGTCCTCTAGGCTGGAAGTCCAGGAGCTGGGCGCTGGCCTCCTCAGGTTCTGGCAGGCCCTTTTCCAGGCTGCTTGGCACCCACCCACCGGATCACTGTATCCTTCTACCCAGGTGTGGGTAGATGGCACCCTCTCTCTCCCAGTCCTACTCGATATCCCACCCTCACCTAACCCTAACGTCATCCCCAAGGCCTGTCTCCAGTAGCATCACACTGGGGGTCAGGGATTCAGTCTAAGATGAGCTTTAGGGGGACACCATTCAGTCGATAGCACTTTGACACAGCACGAATGATACTTCAAAATGTGGCAACAAAAGGTTTTATTTATCCTGGGAAGGTGTGTACAGCTCAACACTGTCATTTCAGGAGGGAAACTGAGGCACGGGTTGGAGGCAGAGCTGGCATCAAAACTCTGGACAGAGGTCTACAGGTGGGCTGTGGCCCTGATGCAGAGCTCTGTGTGCCCACTGGTGGGGGGCAATTTCCAAGAAGCGCGGGCCCCGGCTGCTCGCCCCGGCTACCCCGGGATTCAAGGCTCTGCCCAGTTGATTGTGAGCCTGAACCTAGCCGGGCGCAGCACCAGCAGCTGAGCCGCCCTGCCCCTGCCTATGGCCACTCCTTGCTGCCCTCCCTTTGCTGGTCACAGAGGGAAGGCAGTGCCCACTGCCTAGGCTAGCAGAGGCTTCCGCTGTGTGTTTTGTCTTCCTCTTCTCTTTTCCCCCTTAGCCAGCCCAGCTCTGCTTGGGAGGCTAAAAAGACAAGTCCAGGAAAGGGACCCATGCCTCTGGCCACCTCACAGCCGCTCTCAGCTGTTGCTGCTGCTCTGGCTAAGCCTGGAGATCCTGGGGCCTGCTGAGAGACGGGTTCCTGATGCTGGCCATTTTAGTGGGAGGATATGAGGCTCCTGGACTCCCCGGCTCCTGGTAGTCAGGCTCATGAGGCAGCCTCTCCTCTTCTTCCCAGCCAGCACCCTCCTCCCCTCCCCCATCAGTGTCAGTTCATCCACATCCCCCGCTGCAGAGGCCCCTTCAAGGTTGGCAAGGGGGTTTCTTCTATGGAATCTGCTCGACACATTGGAAACCCATCACTCCCTGCCCCAGGCTGACTGAGGTAGTGGCATTCCCACCTGGCCCCATGGATGAGTATAATCTACACTCCCAGCCCTTTTAAAATTTATTATTTTCAGACAGGGTCTCTCTGTCATTCAGTAGCCCCAGCTCAGCTGCAACTTGGGATCTGCCTGACTCAGCCTCCCACTGTGCTAGGATTATAGGAGGGCCCCGTCCTGTCCCTTTTGAGCTGCCTGTAACATTTAACCTCAGAGGGTGGAGGCAGGGAATAAAGGCTTTGGAGCTGGCCTATCTGGGTTTAGATTTGTCCCTCACTTATCAGCCGCATCAGCCCGGCAAGTCAACTTCTTGGTGACCCTGATGCCTTCTCCATTGCCCGGGCATGATGACAGCACACCCTTGGAGGAAACCATGTAGCTTGGGATGGAGGTCAGGGTGCACCTAGAGCCTGCGCCACACAGAGAAAGGGCTCAGCGGTGGAGCTGCCCTGTGGTCATTATGGGACCATGTACAGGGGTACAGAGTCCCCCAACAGTGCCTCCCCACCCAGTGAGGCTCACAGAAAGCCACCCAGAGGTGGCTGTGTGGTTGATGGGGACCCAGTGATCAGAGGCTACCTGACTTCAACTCCGAGCCATCAGCCAGAGATTGCTCCCAGAGCCCAGGCCCTCCCCTCCCGTGGCCCTCTGGGACTCTGCCTGCCTTTCTTCCCTGCTCCAGCCAGGGTGCAGGTTGTTGCTGCCTAAGCCACACCATGTGCCAGGGAGCCTCCCCAGCAGGGCGCTTCCGGGGCCATCACAGGCAGCTCCCCTGCCGCCCCCTGCAGTTGGAGGACCAAGTGGACAGGTGACCTGCACGGTCTCTGCAGCAGGTCCCACCTCCAGGCTCTTCTGCAGCCCTCACAGTGTGCCTCACTTTTCTGTTTTGGGTCCCTTATCTGCCAGAGGGCTGGTCACTGCTGGGTGTCCTGGAATCTCGTAAAAAGTCAAGAGAAGCGCTGAGAGCAGTCCTGCTTTGCATAAACCCAAAGCACCGCTCTTGTTATTATTGAATCACTATGTTATATTATTATTGGCAGTGGTAATAACAGTCGTGATAGCTGGGAGGGCTCTGTACTTCTGCTACCAGGGCCACCCCAGCTGGACGTGTGCACCAGGAAGCAGGCACAAGGACATCTGCAGTCCACGTGCACGCCCTGCCACCACATTTTGTTCACCAGAAGCATGTGCACACACGCGTGTACACGTTCTCCTAGAAGAGTGTACCAGCAGCATCCCTCCCCTGGCACCAGCTGCCATCAGTCAGGCATCAGTTGGGACTGAAGGGATCTATGTAGCCTGGGGCTCACAGGGCCACAGCCACGAACCCACTAGGCAGAAATACTTAAGGATCAGGGAGCGCCAACTTAAGGTGGTGTTGATGAGGATAAGTATTGTCTGAGATAGCAGAGGGACAGAGGTTATCCTGGGGTGGGGGGTGCGGGTCTGGGCTAATGGGGCTGCTGATGCTTCATCAGGCCCTGGCTTTCCTGATGTGTTCACTGAAAATCCATCAGGCTGCGTGCGTGCGTGCGTGCGTGTGTGTGTGTGTGTGTGTGTGGTCTTTTGTTTGTTTGCTTTTTCTTCTGTGTTCCTGGAGTACTTTAGTAAATAGTTTAATTTTTAAACCTAGATGAGACTGTGCGCAAACGGCCAGCACTTGTACTAACGGCACTGTGTAAGTGGTCATCCTTGTCTTCTCGCTTTTCTTTTTCTCCCCAGCACCTGAAGTGACCTGGAATCAGTAAAGCCAAAGGGACTGGCAGGCTGCCCTGCAGGGAGCACCGACCCATCCCAGCTGCGTGAGCCCTCCAGAGAAAGGGAACGTGTGCGTGCGTGCGTGTGTGTGTGCGCACACGTGTGCATGTGCGTGTGCATCCGTGCATGCAGGTGCATGCCCATGGTCTCCAGACACAGGCCCCGAACCCCGGAAAGCAGGAAGGTGTTACTCCATCGTGTCCTCTGGGAAGACCCTCAGGGACAGCCCTAGGGCTGCGCTCCGCAGCTCAGCCTTCCTGCCTGGGTGGGGCCTCTCCTACTATGCAATTTTTCAAAAGCTCCTGGACCCTGCTTTCAGCTTCCTGGATTGTCATTTGCTGTTGCAGGGGCTTTGATCTGGTCCCGAGGCTCTGCTTCAGTCCCATCTGAGGAAGGCCTTCAGGGAGAGGTCACGTTTCCCTTCAGCACATCCTTGCCCCACCACTGCCCCTCTCCCTTCACATCTCTGGGGATCAATAATGAGTACACCCACTGGGGTCAAGCCTGCACCCTTGGCCTCTATGCTTGAAAACCCCCTTTCCTGCCTGTGCAATTTGAATTTCTGGCTCCTATTTCCAGGTTTCTAGTCACATTGCTCTTGAGTCTTTGCAGAGAACCCTGAAAGCAGGTGCATCCAGGGCAAAGTCTGTCCCCATCTGCAGAGGCGGCCCCTCCACTAGGACCAATAAGCCACAGGGAAGGCGCATGGGAAAGGGGACTCCTGGGGCCTCTGGCCTTGCTTGGTGGGACCATCAACACCTTAGCTTCTGAGCTTCTCCAGTTAGCTGCAAAGGAAAACAAACCAACAAGTCCCCAAATAGGAATTGGAAACAAATGGAAGGATTAAAAGCACAGGGAGAGGAAGTAGAGATTTCCAGAGGCCATAATTGCTTGCCAGGGAACTGTGGGGCTGACCCTTGCTCTCTGGTGGACTGTCCATGTCTTGGAGAAACGGGTGACTGAGCTCAGAGTTGGGACTGTTTCAGTGAGGTTCTTGGGTTTTGTGCCTTTGGGGCAGACCCCAGATGAGGACGCCTGAGGCCACTTTGGTGCTGTTTTCCCAGCTCTGCTCCAGAAATGATAAATGAAACCCAAAGTGGAAGGAGGGGACTTAGGAGAGTCATCACACGATAAAGGGATTTTCTTTTCAGGGCTACTATGGTTGATCTTGCAACTCTTGTAAATATGTATGTAGACACTTTTCAAAGCACGTATTTATGTCCCTGACTGTAAATGCCCCATTTTTAAAGTTTTATAACATGTATTATTTAATTAATTAGTCAAATGGCTGCAATATGGGGTCTGAGAATAGTCCGAGAAAGGGATCTTATGAGATCCTCACATGTGCAGAAAAAGGCTGATCATTGGCCAGTGTCACAGTTTTCCTAGCCACCACCCAGCTCAACTCTCTCCTTTGTTTTCATTTCTCATGAACTGGAATCCTCTCTCACACTCGCTCCGACAGTTAACCCTCGCAAGCATGTAGAAGTCGTGGCTCTTCCTTACCTTCAGGACTTGGTTTTGTCCCATAACTGCTCACATCCATAGACTGCACCCCAGCCCTCGTGCTCCGAGGGGCTTCCCTGTCAGCAGCGGGGAAAGCTCACGAACCCAAAGCCTCAGAAGTCACTTCTGCCCCTGGTGAACTGTGGGAGATGTTTCTGGGGCCTTGGGGGATACTCTCTTCTGTGTGTGCAAAGGCGCTGGTCACCCTTCCATTCTCTCGGACTGTGAGGAAAACCGTTCCAATCATGAGAAAGAGTGGAGGTCTTCCGGCGTGGGTTTGTATCACAGAAGAAGAAGGTTTCATACCTGCCATGTGAAGAAAACTAATAATAAAAGTGCAAAGAACGATTGTAGGAACCAGCGTGGGCCTGATGATCATTTTGGTGTCTGTGCTTTGTCCTCGTGCTGGTGGATTCGTAGTCCGCGCCACGCGACCCAGGCAGGCTTCACTCCAGGGGCGGGCTGAGGGGCTGGGGACTTGGAGGAGAGTCACTCAGTGTCCTGTCTGCTGCTCAAGGTTGCTCCACCCTCAAGACAAAAGATGAAGCCACTACGCCAAGACTAGAAAGGGCTCCCGTGACTACTTTGAACGGCCTTCTTGAGATGTAATTGGCCTACCGAGCAAATGCCCCACTTAAGTATCCAAATCAGTGGATGCTTTCTTTGGTTTTGCAGTACTTGGTTTCGAATCTAATGCTCCACCACTGACGCACATCCCTAGCTCCCTTTTATTTTTTAAGAGAGTCTTATATATTGTGTAGGCTGGGTAAGGACGTGTGGTCTTCCCACGTCAGCCTCCAGAATAGCTGGGATTGCGGGCACACGCCACGATGCCTGACTCTTTGTTGTATTAGGTTCAGCGCTCTGTTGGTACCAATGCTAGAATGTTTTCATCACCCCCCAAGCAAACTGCATAACCACTGGCATTCCTACATGCTAACTACAAATCCACTTTTCTGTCCCCAGGGATTTGTCTGTCATGGACACTTCCTGTAAGTGGACCATGTAATACGAAACCTTTTGTGACTGGCTTCTTTTACTTCACAGTGTGTTCCCTGGTTGTAGCATCTGTTGGTCATTCATTCCTTTTGTAGCCTAAATGTACCATTGAATGGACTTACCATGTTTTATCTGTCCATTCCTCAGGTGATGGACTCTTGGACCAGTGACTTTTTTTTTTTAAATCACACTAACCAGTGACTTTTTTTTGACCACTAAGAATAAATGCACAATAGACATTTATGTAGAAGTTTTCATGCAGACAACTTTTCTTGGGTTTGTACATAGGAAAAAGGCGGGTCATAAGGTCACTTGGTTATCCTTCGAGGGACTGTTTTCCAGAGTGGCCCCATTATTCACATTCCCACAGCAGCAGTCAAGGATTTCAATTTTTCTGCCTCTTCACCAGCACTTGCTTTGTCTGTCTTAGCCATCGTGGGTGCGTGAGTGCAGATACATTGTGTGAAAGCCCTCCCCATCTACCGGCCACACCACCTCACTGTTGGGTACCAGAGCCTGGACAGAAGGGACACATGGACAGGGAACTGTGATGAGAAGTGAGATACAAGCATTTTCTTGGGTTTGTGAGGGACAAGGACCCATAGTAGGGTGCACAGTAGGAGACCTGTAGATGCTATTTGCTCCTGTCCAAATATTGCATGAGGGTAGGAGAATAGGCAAAATTCTGTCTCTTCCTGTACACTGTCCCCAAAAAGGAAATGAGATGTGTTAGTTGGGGCTGTCCAGAGACACAGAACCAATGGGAGGTGCATGAAGAAAGCCACTCTTTGAGGGACTGCCTTACATGAGTACCGACTCCGGGAAGCTCCACAGTGCCACCTGCACACTGAAGCCCAGGACACTTGGTGTGATTCAGCTGGGTCTACAGCCTGAGCACAGAGGAGCTGGTGCTGCACATCCCAGGCTCAGGGCGGAAGAGGTGAGGAGAGCCCCAGCCCCACAGTCAGGCAGACAAGGGGGCCAAGTCCTCCCTCCATGAGGTGCAAGTGCTGCTGGGAAGAAGCTCACAAGCACACTAGAAATGGCGCTGCCCCAGGCACCTGTTACCATTCCAGGTGCCGCATGCTCCTGACTGTCAAGCTGGGCTATGGTGGCACACACTAGTACACACACACACATGACTCACGCTTCTCATCGTAGAACCATCCAGAAAGTGAAGGCAAATTGCATGAGGTGAGATCACTCCTTCAGCACTGGTCCTTCAGCTTACTGCCCACTTGTGCTGGGCAGGTAGAGATGAACTGCATGCAGGCCCAGCTGGGGTTTCAGGTGGCAGGAGACAGAAGGGCAAAGGGAATGAGCAGGAGGTGACTGACGTCAGAGGATGAAAAGGGCTGCTGAAGAGGCTGGCACTGCGTGTGTGGAGAGCCTAAGGGTATGAGCCCAGGAGAAGGGGACGCTGGGGACATGTGCAAGCCTCAGTCAGCTGGCCTCACTCATCCCCACAGGGAGCTCCGAAAGATTCCTGTGGGGACAGAAGTTGCCCTCCAGCAGGCAGGCTGGAGCTGAAATGATCACGACGTCCACTGGTAGGCTGCCTTCTTTTCTTTTCTTTTCTTTTCTTTTCTTTTCTTTTCTTTTCTTTTCTTTTCTTTTCTTTTCTTTTCTTTTCTTTCTTTTCTTTTCTTCTTTTCTTTTCTTTTCTTTCTTTTCTTTTCTTTTTTTTTCTTTTCTTTTCTTTTTTTTTCTTTTTTTGTGGAACCAGGGATTGAACTCAGGCCCCTGCGCTTGCCAGGGAAGCGCTTATTCCACTGAGCCATCTCCCAGCCCCCCAGTAGGCCACCTTTCAGCATGGCCAGCCACTCACACACAGGCTCCAGCTCACCCATACAAGCTCCAGAGTGGTGGTGCAGGTCCACTGTCTGCACAAGAAAGTTCAACAAGCTGGTGACGCACAGGCCGTGCCCACGAGGTGCCAGGCACACTGAGGCGCCACTTCCTGAGCCCTGTGACCTGCCTGGCCACTCCTCCTTTCCCAGTATCTCCAGCCACCTCCCAGACAGAGCAGCTGGAGGCTCAGAGATACTAAATGATGTGATGGCAGAGCTGCTAGTTTGGGGCAGGAACTGGACACAGGCCTTCGGGGGCCACTGGCCACCATTTCTTAGGCCCCAGCCCCTGTCCTCCCTCTGCCTGCACCCTGTTGGCTTCTCCGCAGGTCAGGCTGCCTTGCAGGTAGGAGTGTTACAGCAAAGGTCCATCCCCAAGCCCCGAACGTGGCGAGTCACAGCTGCACAAGGGCTGTGCTCCAGACACATACGTGGCCATACAGGAGGTGTTAGTTTCAATGCCTAGGCGTTGGGCCACCAGCTGCACATCCAACTCCAGCTTTTAACAGGCTGTGTGACCTCACCTGGGCCTGGTTTGCACAGGAGGATAGTCCTCACTGCCACCTTCCCACGGGCCAGTGAGGACCTGCATTAGCCACTGCTGTCTCCTCAGATCTAAGTTAAGTCATCTGTTCTGGGTCACCTGGTGCATGAGGAGAGTCTTGGCCCCTCCAGGGTACCACTGCGTCAGAGCTGGAGGGGCCTGGGCTACCTGTATTGCCAGCAAGCTTAATGTCCCCCAGGTTCGAGGATTCTGTCCATGCGGTGATCTAAACAAGCATTCTGGGCTTAGCCGGACCACACTGACTCACGATGACAGCAGGGAACGTCAGGGCACTAAGCAGCGTCAGTGGTGACCTGAACTCACACTGTGCCAGTGCTGGGTCACCACTAGAAGAGGGGAGGCTGTCTCCAAAAATAAGTGCTTCCTGGGAGCTCTGCAGAGCCTGCCCCCGTGGCCACTGCTTCGTGAAGTAAAAAGAAGAAAGGGAGCCACTGGGGGCCCCTGGAATTAGAATCTGACAGGGACTGCAATGGGGAGTGTAGGACTTGGGGGAGGTCTAGGCTTGAGCAGACCGCTGAGTGACTGAGATTGTTCTTGGGTGCATGCAGCAGAGCTGAGGTACTTTGCCTACCAAGTAGCATCAGCTACTAGCTGTGGCTGGAACCAGAGGGGGTACGGGTCAGAGGGACCTGGCTCTGATTCTGCCTCTGCCCCCTCCCTGATGTGGAGGCACTGGGATCCTGGCCATGGCTCAGACAGGTGGGGTGGAGGAAGTGGGCAAGCCCAGAGCTTCCGGTTAAGGGTGATGCCCCGAAGAGCTTTGGGGCCCCAGAGCTGCTTAGCCAGAGATGGTGGAAAGTGCATGTCTGAATCTCCCATTCAGGGCCACATCCCTGGACACCCTTTGCTCAGAGCTGGGAGGCTTAGGATGGTCCTTGTGGGAAGGAAAGGGACACAAAGCAGTGTGGGGGTGCTGTCTACCTCCCTCTTGCTGCTGAGTGCAGGCTGGGGGCTCCACGTGGCTAGAGCACCAAAAGCTTAAGATCCCACCCCCATGGCTCTGTGGCCAGCTCAGCTGACCAGTCCCAAGTGCTGCTGGAACCCCAACCCCATGCTCCTGCAAAGAAACCTGGCCCACACTCCGTCCCTTTGTGACAGCAGGCTGGAGGGTATGGCAGGAGCTGCCTGCCCAGCTACCAGGAAAACAGAACCTGCAGCCTGTCCCAAAGGACAGTGCTGATGGAAACTCTCTGCTCCTTTGCGTTCCAGCCTGCCCTCCCTCTCCAGCAAGCAGAGGTCAGCCTCCAGCAGCAGGTTGGACAGCAACAGTAAGATTCTCTGAGGAGATAACTCAGCGGTCTAAGCACCTGCCTACCCAGGTCAAGGACGCAGGTTCAATCCCTGGTACTGTATGCCGTGCTGCCCCCTGGAACCCCAGGCGTGCTGTGCCAGCCACTGAAACTGGGCCTGGTGGCACATGTCTATAATCCCAGTACTGGGGAGGCTGAGACAGGAGAATCACTACGAGCCCAAGCTGTGTAGTAAAAGATTTAATTTTTTTTTTAAAGATTGCTATAGCCTGGGGCAGGTGTCAGGGCCCCCATGTCACATGATAGCATTCAGCTGTACCCAGGCAGGACCAGAGGAACAGCTGGGACCAGGAAGCGTAGGCACATATAGGAGTCTGAGACCCAGGGTCTGTGCAATTTTGTACCCTAAATGCCAGATCCTAGCAACTTAGGATGCCCTGTTTCTCTAGTCCCAAGGTCTTGTCCTATCATTCTACAAAATCTCAGAGTCTTCTCACACGTGGACAATAAAGCCCAACTCCGCTTCCCTTCTGGCAGCCCCTCTGGCCCTCACCATAGCAGCTCGAGGAGCTTCTTCTCCTGGACCACGTCAAGCTCTTCTGCCACGGGGCTTTTGCACAAACGACTATGTCTGCCTGTAGTGACCTTCCACTGGCCACGTGGCTCTCAGCTTAAGTGTCGTCTCAGCA